CAACGCAAACTTGCTATTTGCTTTTGAGTAAAACAATTTTGCTTTCGGTTTTATAGATTGGATATGCCTATAAATATGTAATGTTGGATGAATTAGTCACCAAAATTGACATCGGCCTTTGCATCACTGACGGCTCTTTTCGTAACATTAGCCAAACCCACTTCGTTCATGACAGTTGTGATGAATTCAATGCCCACTAGCCATTTGGTTTCCTTAAATTCCCTGCAAATCTGATCCCGAACCGAGACAGAAAAGTTTAATTCCGCGCACTACAATTCGTTTCCACAAACACAGTGAAGAATATGGCAGTTACTTTTAATGAGCGAAGTATGCAAAATTGTTATAAATTCTAAGAATTACTCATACATTTGTGCAATTAAGATTACTATAAAGAGAAAGTACGCCTATTGCTGTCCTACCTCATTCCCCAATCTACGGTAGTCATCGTGAGAGCGCATGGGCTAAAGAAAATTTCAGCTTCTCCCACCTTTAATGTTTCTCAACTCCTGTACAGGTAGGACTCATATCACCTTCCTGCTGTGCAATGAGACCATTGATCACCTGGTCTTGCCAAAAGCATAGCACTTCATATCTCGTCGATTGGTGGGTGTTAAAGATAGGCGTAACACAGAAGAAGCGATACTGAGGCTGCGCTTTCCGTTGGTGAACATCATAATCCGTGGCTCTTCAGCGCAGCAATTGACCATGTGGGTGACATCAGAATTGATCGACTTGAAAACGACCACCACGGATCTGCTACCGTATTCATGTAAGCATACGTGATATTCACTAGAAAAATTGATATCTGGTCTACATTTACAGAAATTTGGTAAGGCCTCATGGGCAAGGTAAAACAATTGATGTAAAATACATGGGGGACGCAGAGAGCAGATGTCAAACCATATGAGGTAAATTGCAATCCTCTATTTCACTGGATGGCCTTACTTTTTGGTAGATGTTCATAAGAAGTATGGATGGCATCTGGCATGCATTCACTTATTCATTCGTTCCTTCATAATTGTTGCACACAGATCGACCGATAGGAATTGCTAAGTCAGTGCTGGTGTAAAATAAGACGTTAATTAATTGCCATCATCTCGGCATTGTGGTTGACTCATTGATAAACCTTCAGTTTAACAGGAGTAAAACTGAAGAATTTATCAATTGTCAAATAGGTATCAGCGTAAGTGCATCTCTATTGTCCTATAATTTTCGCTAATGCGCATTTGACTGTGGCTAATCTACTGAGAAGCTTAAATGTCAGTAAAATGCAGCATTTTATGAGGGGATTCGATTTACAAGGAGTGTAACTTGCGAGGGAAATACCAAACATATACACTGGAAATTGGAGATCAACAGGAGTCAATCCGCATTTGACATAGTTAAGTGTCGAAATGGCTAAGATGTCATGGAGATAGCCGTGCTGATTGCTACAGTTTTGTTTTCTAATTTTAAGCCACATTATCATTTGCCTCAGAAGGATCACGAAACTGGCCTGCCCTAGGTATTTTTCGCTTGATCTTCACACCTTGCATTGCATTCGCGCATAAAGAAGTGTGCGATGCCAAGCACATTCTAAAGTCAGCCTAAAACGAAAGATATGTATATCAATTTGCTTGCAATTTATTTCTGTTTATACAACCATCGGTTTGCCCCTCAGTAGATACCTGACGCGTCGAGTTAGGGCAGCTTACTTCGGTATATCACGACTGCTGATTGATTAAATAACATTATGCGAAAAATATGAATGCTCGCCATGGTGGTGCATTCACATCATTGCTACAGAGGTCCAAGAGAGGTTTGGATTTGAGAAATCGTTTGGATGATTGTGCAAGGTGAAGAGAAGTTAATGAGCACGTGCTGAACAGCAAGCACACTGTTCTAAAACCACAAAAACCTCTCATGATCTACAATGCAAAATATCAAAGTAAAGATTGAAATACATTCACAAGGTAAAGTCACCTTGTTAGAAGCAGATAAATTGAAAGCGCAAGCAATAATTACGTTAAAATGTGCGAATATGAACTGATGCTGTGTACAGGGTGGGTCAATTAAGAACAGTTTTTATGA